TTAGACGAACAGATCCTCCAGACCTCAGGTCGCCTATGACGAACAGGCTTGGTTGAAAGAGAGCCCTCCGCTGGAGGTGCCGAAGAAGCGAAAGAACACGCCTGAGGATGGGAACAAGGCTGGCGAGCACGAGTCTCCAGTCCCCCTCGCATGGCTCCAGCTTCGCTGCAAATCTGGGAACCTTGCTTCCCCGCGACCTCCACCAAAGCGGTCGCGGTCCTGGCGAACCTGCCTCTCGCGCCCGCCAAGACCTGAGGTGCACGTGAAAATGGACCAGACGCCGATGGAGATCTCGAGAGAGAACTCAGCGCCACCTCGGACATCTTGCCGAACATGTTACCCCCCTCGTGGTCCATCACCAGCAGCTGGGGGCACATCAGCACCAGGGCCTTGGCCAGCCCAAGCACCAGGAACATGATGAACATCAGGTGCAGCCGCCGCCGCAGGCGCTGGGGGGTCACGCCTGGGCCGCTTGGCGAGGGCCGCGGGTTTCTCCAGGAACTCGAGCATTGTCTTGGGAAGGCCCTCGTACTGCCCAGCCTTGCCACCCTGCATGAGCTCATGGAGCTGCTGCTTGCAATCCTCGGCCACCCTGGAATCGATAGCCGATGTCGAAGTAACCCCAGCATCACTAGCATTGCCACCTGCAGCCGCCCGCTGGGCCGCTGCCTCGGCCGCCTGCCGCTGGCGCGCTTCCTCCTCCTGCTGGAATTGGAGGCCCGCCGCGGATAGGTCGCCCAAGAGGTCGACCACCGACTGGAACTGGGCCGCCTTAGCCGACTTGGAACCAGCAGGCAGATGGCCAAACAATGTCTCGACCAAGCCCGAGATTGCCGACTTCCCATCAGCACCCACAGGATGAAGGACAGCGCGTCGATGAAGCCGCTGCAACACCTCCTCCTCGCGCTTGACGGACTCCGCCAACTTCTGCTGAGACTCAAGGCACTCCGCCAAGTCCTGCTCGAGCTCAGCCTGCTTCTGCTTGATCGAAACCTCGGTGGACTGCGCTGCCTGAAGCTGGCCCTGGTAGTGGGCCAACTTGCCCTGATGTGACCGCACCCGCATCCAAGGCGTCTGGCCCTGGTTGGCATTAGGTGCGGCGGACACGATGGGGATCTGGGCCTTGGCTGCCACGACCAGCGGGCGTTCGGGCCCAAGGCCTGCCAGTGTGAGCTGCTCGATGGCGGCCGGCAGATACTCCTGCTTGGCAGCCCTGTTGTCGACACCTTTTGCTTTGGCACGAGCGGCTGCGCCACCTTTGCCATGCCAAGGGCCAGGCTTAGCGGGGCATCTCCGCTTGGAGACTCAGCAGCTTCGTGATCGGGCACGGAACCTCCTTTGCGGCCACGGCCACTCTTGCCCACCAGCTGCCATGCATCCTGTGCTTGCTGCTCGCCCGTTCTTCTCCAGGGTCTCGGGGGCCCTTGGACGGTGTCACGAACAAGAATATCACGAATCCACGTCTCACAGCGAAAACACCTGCTCCACTCCACCAAGTTATACTGGTAGCCGCACGAGTTCTTGCCATAGCACGTCTTGTAACCACTCTGCGAATGCGGGCGGTCACGCGCCTGACGAGGAGGCCCCTTGGGCGGATCTGGGACCATCACACGCGCGCGCGACACGTGAGAGCGCTCGGAGCCCGAGCAAAGCAGCAGTAGCTGGGGCGAACCAGCTCTGCAAAGCGGAAAATGCCTCCCTGACCAGGCAGTGAGGCGTCACAGGTGGGGCCGCGGACTCCCCCACGCCAGTAAGGTCAGGTCTCGTGCCAAAACGGCTACGGACTTGAGCCAAAATGGCTACGGGCGTTTCGTGGAATGTTTCGTGGGGGGAGTTCGCGGGGTGTTTCGTGGGGTGGTTTCCGTGGAGTGGTTCGTGGAGTGTTTCGTGGGGTGTTTCGAGGCTCGGACCCTGTAGACGGGTCAGGCGCACCAAGACAGCGCAAGATCGTTCCAAGAGGGCATCAAGATGTCAAAGTCCAGTCAGCGATACATTGCCTTGGCTTGCTGGTCTTTTTGGGATCCCCGCAACTTAAGACGTCCTCAAGGCTTCCCATAGGACCCATGGGTGCTCAAAGGAGGGGGTCGGGCACCTGGGCGAGAAGGCAGCGGTCTCAATCGCGGGACACGCCGTGATTTGAAATGCGCCCCACTTGTCCCACTTGCCGCGACCGCCCGCGCGGTCTCGAAACGTGGACGTCTAGGAATCGAGGGAGGCCACTTGGTACCACTTGTCCCACTTGCCTAAGTGGGGCAAGCGGGGCAAGCGGAGCAAATGGTACCAAGTGGGTCAAGTGAGTAGGGCAAGTGGGGCAAATGGGGCACGTTTCAAATACCGTAACGGCGCATGTCCAAACACACAGTTGCAAGAGTTTCACGGATTCCCGCAATTAACGTAACAGAAACTATGTTTTGGAACGGTTCAGGATTGCCAGGGCGCAACAGCGTTGAAGTCCCGAGAATGCCATTCTGGCACGCTTCAAGATCTTCAATAGGTCTCCCTATGGGGCACTTCCTTCAGTGGAAATGGCTCCTTGGAGGGGCATATGAGGGAGCTTGTGGGAGGGTTTATTCCAACATCGGTGATGAGTCTTGGGTTTACATTGATCCTCCTCCTCCTCCTCCTCCTCCTCCTCCTCCTCCTCCTCCTCCTCCTCCTCCTCCTCCTCCTGCCTCCTCCGCCTCCTCTTCCTCCTCCTTTCCACCCCTTTACTGTCAGGAGGGCCCAAGGAATCCCCAGCTTTCCGCTACATGTTGGAGCCCCGGGGGCCATCTGGGCCGCGTGATTGGTGCTCCAAGAGGCATCCGCCGACGCGACTTGTTCAATGTGCTGCCCAAGAGGTCCCGACCGCTTCCCCGGGAGTACTGTCGCCCCGGGTTGCCCTGGGGCCCGAAAACGGGCTCCCAGACGCCGACATCGAAGGAAAAGTCAGATCGTCGCAGATGTGGGTATCCGCACCCTCGCGGTCTGGATTCCAGGGCGCGGAAGATGAGGAGGAGGAGGAAGAGGAGGGGGAGGGGGAGGAGGAGGAGGAGGAGGAGGAGGAGGAGGAGGAGGAGGAGGAGGAGGAGGAGGAGGAGGAGGAGGAGGAGGAGGAGGAGGAGGGGAGGAGGAGGAGGAGGAGGAGGAGGAGGAGGAGGAGGAGGAGGAGGAGGAGAGGAGGAGGAGGAGGAGGAGGAGGAGGAGGAGGAGGAGGAGGAGGAGGAGGAGGAGGAGGCGCGCGGGGCACCCGCCAAGAAACGCCCCACATCCGCTGGGGCGCGGCCTGGGGGCCCGGCCCGCGCAGCCGCGGTAATACAGATACCTGTCTCGCCCACGAGGGAAGAGAGCTCTGGCCGCCCTGCGGCCAGCGGCACCTCCGGCGGCCCTCGGGAGCGCGCTCGCGCGCGCAGGCCCAGCGGGGCCGGGCCAGTCGCCGATCGGTCCCACGGGGCCCAGGGAAGAGCTCTGGCCGCCCTGCGGCCAGCGGCACCTCCAGCAGCCCTCGAGGGCGCGCTCGCGCGCGCAGGCCGAGCGGGGCCGGGCCAGTCGCCGATCGATTCCACGGGATCCGAGAAGCAGCCAAGCGAAAATGCCAACGAGTGTGCAAGTTAGCGCAGCACTGGTGATGTGTCTCCGTCCTGATCTTGGCAGTGCGCTTGGCGGACTGCATCTCGGGCGAGTTTGGCGCACCCGCGTCTGCCTCGTCGAGCAGGCCTGTCTCTCTTCTCCCTCTTCCTTCCCTCCCTCTCCCTCTTTCTCTCTTGCAAGCTGCTCTGACTCACATACTTTTCCAACGGGTCGCCTCAATGCACCCGTTGCCTGTCAACGCGTCCTGCTGGGTGCTTGTGCCTGTCTGCCAGGACCACCAATGAGACCACCAGGGAGCGATTCCCGAGGGCTCAACTGATATCAATGACACGCCGCGGTGGGGAACCAATCAGCGTGCTACTGTCGAGGGAACACCGAGCACGCCGACTAACCCGAAGGGGTCACACGCTTACGAACTCTCGACGGCGGCGTGCCAGCGGTAGTATTTGCCCCTCCCTCGGCTTCACGCAAGAATGACCCTAGGCAAAAATGACCTTTGGTGCGCGGCTTACCGGGGAACGCGGGGTGGCCAAACCCAAGCGCGCAAGACGCCGACTATCGCACCGCGCTCGGCGATCGGGGGGCCCCAGTGGGCGCGCACCAACGGTCACTCTGGCGAAGCCGACCAGCCATAACTGGGGGAGCTGTGGTCCTTACCCCCCCTGGGGGAACCCATCGCATCGAGGATCTCTCGAGAGGGGTGTCGAAATCGATGGGTCCCCCAGGGGGGTAAGGACCAGAGCTCCCCCAGTTGTAACTGGCCTGCGAAGGGCCACTCTTACGTGCAGCCGAGAGATCACCACTGAAGGCCCGAGGGCTGCCCCCCCACTATTCGGCCGCAGCGGCGGCGGCGCCCCGAGGGGAGAAGGCGAGAAAGGGAAGGTTTCTCAGAAGGCGAGGGGGCTTCGGCAGACAAGCGCGTTCCACGACTCGCAAGGGAATGACTCGCAAATGGCCAGGACCCGCCGCGCTGGATTTATGATCTACGACATCGAGGCCAACATGAGGTTGTCGGACGTTTGCGAGTAGGCACTTTGCGAGTAGTGAAAACCGCTCGGTGCTTCTCAGGAGCCCTCCAGCATTCTGAGAAGCCTTCTGAGGGCACTCCAGTTTGACCCCAGAGAGGCCTGGCGAGGCAGCTCGAGACCTAATTTGCGTCGGATTTATCGGACTCGAGTCGGATTCACGTCTGGAGGATCGCCGCGCGAACGTCGACACAGATCGTACGGGGCGGACGCGTGGACTAGATGATACAACTATTGCGCGCCGCGCGAGGCCTCCATGCTTGTTCTCATAGGAAGCGCTGTGTGGCTTCGAAGCTTGGCCAAACGTTTGCCCAACGTCTGGCCACACAGACTATGCTGGAAAGACAGGGCCGTTGGTGACTCGCCAAATGCACTTTTGATAAACATGTGATGTCTTCGCAAAGCGGTCCTTCTGGATGTTGTAGTCACTCAAAGTGCGGCCGTCCTCCAACTGCTTGCCGGCAAAGATCAGCCTGTCACCGTCAGCGCCAGAGGAAAGCAAAAGACAAATGCTATCATCGGCCAGCACCCGATCAAAATGAGACCTGCCCGTGGAGCCTAAACACTGCTTGCTTAACCATGTACGGTGGCTCCCGCGCTGCTGATGCTACTACAGGCAGCATTGGCTTATGATGGTAGGACTGGTGGTCAGATGGGCCCTCAGAGGTTCGCGCCGCATCGTCGATGCATCAACGACGCACCACCGATGCATCGGCGACGTCGGCGATGTATCGGCGACGTCCGCGTGGAGAAAATCGGGCTCCACAACGAGCCGCATCGCCGATATATCGCCGATGCGGCGCGATCCTCCGATCCCATCTGCTCCGACCCCATCAGGGGCAACCATAAGATACCGACACCGCTACTCAACGGACCTCTCCCAGGGTGCGTTCTGACCCCAGAATTCTGGGGCGAATCCAGCCGTGGCGACAGTGGCCTCCCAACGACCAGCCTAAAAAGACGGCAACGCGGAAAAGGACAGCGACATCGGTCTCCTTTTCGGCCTGTGAGCAGTAGCTCCTGCTAACTGAGGCACCAGCGGAAAAACACAAGCCGAAGGCAAAAACGGGCAGCCGCACGGATCAGTTGGCGGCGCGCAGAAGGGGTGTAGGGGGAGGTGGGAACGCTTCTTAGAAGGAGGCTGTTACTTAGAAGGCGCGGACATCATCTACAGATGCAGGACCGGCGCCTTCTAAGAAGTAGCCTGCTTCTAAGAAGCCTTCCCCTCCCCCCTCACACCCTTCTGCGCGTGGCCGAATCAGGCAGAATATATTTGGAAGTGGTGGCTCGCGCGGCCCGCCGCCGCCCTTGGGTCACCAGGCAGCGCAGTGGCCGCCGCGGCCGACGCCGCACCTACTGCTTCGGGGGCGTCCAAGAGGGGGGGCGCAAATCATGGCCCGAGGCACGTGCGCGGGCAGGGGGTGCCAGGAGACGCACTGAAATGAGAAGAAGCGATATGAGACTTGAGGAGATATCATGGCCCTGGACATGATATCCACCCACAGGGGGAGGTAGATGGAGACGAAGCGGTAGGTCTTGTTGTCCTTGCTGGCGGTGGCTGCGATAGCCTTGCCAGGAATACGGGCCGCGGTAGAAAGGAGATCGCATTCGTGGGGGAGGAGGATAGCGACCCCCCCCAGCGTACCCGCCTGCGGGGCCAAGGTACGCCGGGGTAGAGAGGAGGCGTCTGGCTGGAAACGCGGTTGCCCACGCTCCACATTCGTGCTCAGACCAGCGTGTTTCTTGGAGTAGGGCGACGCACCCCGTCGCCGAGGCTTACGTGATGACGGCGACTTTGGCCTGATTATTTGGGTCAAGCGCGCTGCGCAGGTATCTGACGCCCCAGGAGGCGGGGGAGTGCGGATCGTCTGACCTGGGCAACGGGTTGGAGGAGCCCGTCCAGAAGGACCCTGGCGCACAGGTCGCCCCAGGTCCGATTCGGGGGTGGCGGAGAGTCGTGTATCAGCCTCCAGAGGGTTCCTGGATGCCGCACGAGGTGGTCGGCCTCACTCGCGGGCCATTGGTAGAGTTGGTTGGACTGCTCTCCAGTGATGTCAGCCAATACGTGTAGGAGGTCGCTGGAAATGGGATGGAAGGGCTCGCTAGGGGGGAAACAAGGCGGGGATTATGCGCCTGCCCCTCTGTCGGAGGCGCAGGCAGGCAAGGTCAAAAAGCCAGCTTGACGTTTCCAACGAGGAAGAGTCGCGCGTCTCAGGGGGGCCCTGAGCGTCCCGAAGCGCGAGCGCAGGTCGACGCCTTCGCTGGGAGTGCACGCCTGTCGCATCCGCTCTCTCACTCTCCCCCTAAGGTCGCCCGTCACAGCTCCTCAGGTGAGGCCGGGCAGCGCTTCGTTCCATCGAGCGGCCTCTGACCCGCGTCCTGCGGCGTCGTTGATGAGCGTGCGTGCGATGGCCTGGCGCCCCGCCAGCTACGCGGTGCTGACCAGGGTTCCTAGACGCTGTCGCATCGCGTCGTGGATAGGTGCCCATGCATTTTCATGCCTGGTGGCCATGTGTTCAGCACAAAAGGATCGTCTCTCCGAGCCCCAGCGGATCGGCTGGGCGCTCCCTTCCGCTTGGGCTTCGTCAGCGCTGAGGTCTCGGATGATTTGTCTGCCAAGTTGATCGACGACAGGCTGCAGCGTGCACGGGATCTGCATCGCACCGGTCGTGCCTCGGCTTCTCTCGGTGCGTTGTTGCTCCGAGTGCGCCGCCCTGAGGGCTGTCGACCCTATCGCTCCAGATGTGGGCGCGTGCGTAATTGCGTTCCTCGGCGCGTACGAGGCTCCGGACTTCTTGGTTTTCTATGGAGTCTATGGGTCCGGCTGTTATCAGTTGCCTCAGCCGATCAGCGAGCGCGGCTTCTAGGCTATTGCGCAGGATTCTTGCACTTCGTGCTCGGAATGGGTCAGGGGCGGGGTCGTTTCTGTGCTCGGTCAAAGGAAAAAGCCTTACAAAGGTGTCAACGGCCTCGGCACGCAAGCGATTGAGGCGGTCGCCGTCCGAGCCTGCGTGCCCGGTAGGCGGCGCCTGCTCGGGATTGGCGTCGCGCGCGGGCATGTCGGGTCCACTTTGGAGACCGGCAGTCTCGGTTCGGGTCAGCAGGTCCCAGTTTGCGTGTCCTGCGTCAGCGCCCGCGTCCGAAATTTGTGATCTTGTTGGGGCTCGGTCAGGGCAGTCGTTGCGCTGGCCGCGTGGATGGAGCACTCGAGCGAGGCGCGGGGAAATCTCGCCACGATGTGGCCCCGGGCCAGCAGTTCCCAGGGGGTCTGTTCCGTTGTGTGCTGTGTCAGGGTGCCCTTGGTCAACGATTTGCGTCCTCCTGCTGGGCGCCAGGGTGTTGCGCGTCACTTCTGTTGCGGCGGGGCTGGGTCCGACGCTTGGTCGTGGCACAGGAGCCGTCGTCTCCTGCTGCGCGGACTGGGGTTCGTGTGTGGCGTCGCTGCGGGGCTGTCCTAGAGGTGGGGCAGTGCTGGGTGTCACGCGCTGGTCCTGCTGTGCGCTCGTTTCTTGTATGGGTTCCTCGGGGGGTCTCCTCCAGTTCGGCCCTCGCGGGCCCCTGCCGGGCCCGCTCCTGGTTCTATCACCATCGTGTGGTTGGTGCGATATTCGCGCCTCGTCATCAGTACCGCGGGCTCAAGGGACGTGGAAGAATGGGGAGTGGCCAGTGCACGCAGAGTCACATGGGCTTCTGGTCCATTGCGCGAAGGGATCAAGCCGTTGCGTCGCTCCGCCGATACTTGACTCCCTCACTAGTTGGTCGTAGTGGTCTTGACCTCATGCACGAACACACAACACACACACAACTCACAAAAACATTCCGTCCTCTTGCTCCTGCTCCTAATCCTACCCTTCCAGCTCCTCTCGGCCTGCTCCTAATCTCTCCTCCCGGGCAAAATACGCGGCCTCTGCTGGTCCGGCGGGATGCCCTCCTTGTCCTGGATCTTGGCCTTCACGTTGTCGATGGTGTCGGACGCCTGATAGGTGTGTAGATGAGGCAAGATGTCGGTGCGAAGCACGGTCTTACACCCCAAACAACAAAAAAAACAAAAAGGGCTGACGAGCTCGATAGAACTCCGCCCTGTCCGACTCTACCGGCACAGGTGGCCGGAGGCTGAGCGTGCAAGTGCGAGCGACTGGAAGGTCGCCGAAATTTCTTTGAGCAGCGCCAACTGCACGCAGAAGGCGACGAGGATCGCGGAGACAAGGGCGTAATGTAGAACACCACGCCACGAGGTCCTGTCCCGATCGACCCGCGCCGAACGGCCACTGTCCGAGAGTAACGCCGACTGCACGCAAACGGTGTCGGACGCCTGGCAGGTGTGGAGGGTGAGGCAAGATGTCGGTGCGATGCACGGTCTTACACCCCACCAGAGCACACCTTAGGCCTCACCAAAAACAGCGGCGAGAAACCGGTCGTAATGTGGACGAAGCACCACGAACTTGTATGCAAGAATGCGCTTGGCAAGCTGGCGCCGCCGCCTGGTGGCAGCAGCGTGTGGAGAGTGAGGCAAGATGTCAATGACGAGATCAAAGTCTTACACCCCACCAGAACACAACTAAGTTTCACCAGACACGGCACTGAGGAAGCGGTCGCAGTGGTGGCGGCGGCGTGGGCGTCGCTCGAGATGCTGGCGGGGACGTCCCACGCGGCGCGAACCCATCCATTCAGCAACAGGGCCGAACGGTAAGAGAGGGGTGGAGGGTGAGGCAAGATGTCGGTGCGAAGCACGGTCTTCAGCCCCACCAGAGCACACCTCAGGCCTCGACAGGCACGGCGGCGAGAGAACGATCGCAATGTGGACGGAGGACCACGAACTTGTATGCGAGAATGCGCTTGGCAAGCTGGCGCCGCATCTTGGTGGCAAGAGCAAGCGCGTGAGAGGTATCTTGACGCCGTGTGCGTCGGACGCGTGCATGGTATGTAGATGAAGCTAGTAATGAGTGACAACATGCAGATACTGTATACATTGGTTTGGTTGCAATCCCACTCATGTACGTATACACAGACGGAAAAACATGCAAACGCGCTCGCCTTACACCCTACAGAAACTTCTTTTTCAGCGGATGAATACAGCGGTTGATGAGACGCGACCTTACTGCGCGAGCAAGTCTGCACAACGATGCCTAGACTTACCCTGGCAAATGCAGACTGGACTGTCTGCACACATGGCATGGGACAGCCAAACAGACTCGGCAAGGCAAAGCTCGACCAGCAGATCACGGCACGGCGAGCGCACGCAAAGAACGATCTGGCGGTCCGCCCGATCCAATTTCGACAGTCATGGATGCTGTGCTTTACGAGATGGTGTGTGTTATGTTTCTGGTGTGTAGGCTCCCCCGATCGATCCTTCCGAAAATACTGAGGCTCTGATGAATGCCGGAGGGTCCAACGCAATCGAGCATATCGCCTCAAATGCCTAGTGGGGGGGGCGTGTGCCATTGCATAAACATCAGCATGCCTTAGCAATGGTATGACCAGCTCTTAGATACCCACATGTGCGCAACAAATGAACACAAACTTGCTTCGAGCCACCAAAAGCGCCAGGCCCCGAAGGACGACTGCATGAGCACTTGCGGGCGCGTAGCGCGGGGCATCGTCATTTCATGACTTGGGGTGATGGTGTGAATCAGATCAGCTTGTAACGGGTGTTTCATACCCATGTGCACCCCAACATTCTACAAGATATTCAAGATGCCTAACACCTTCCCTCAAGTCCGCGCGCACGTAACGACATCCCGACAGAAACACGCATCAGCTGTGCGAGTGCGGCGAGCACCGCAAGGCACGCGAGGCGTGGCCCGAACCGCCGTGCGAGGCGGGGATTTGTCCGTGTCCACCACCTGGTGGTGCCCCAGCAGGCGGTGGATATGGATATATGTTGGCCCTCCGGAACCCGAATGTGTCCATGACCACCGCCTGCCGAGGTCCCCGAAAACTGACCCTCCAGGCAGTAGTCATGTAGATAAAGGAAGAAGAACTATGCACATACACCGATTCTGGCCAGGCCCATCCTGAGCCCAGGATCGGTGCATACGCCCTCCTACCTTGGCCAGGAAGGCGTATGTACCGATCCTGGGGCCAAGGATGGGCCTTGCCAGGATCGGTGCATGTGCATAGTTCTCTTCGCCCGAGTAGAAGCCCCCACCTCGGACGCAGGACAACCAAAGCGAACGACACGGCACGCCGAGCGTGGGCCCACCTCTGCACGGCACCCGCGCGCGCCACGCGCCGCGAGGGGCACGACGCACGCACACCGTGCAGGGCACCGCCAGAGCACCGCGCGGCGAGCACCGACGAGCGCGGCCCGCGCGGCACGCACGGGACGGCGCAGCCAGCAGAGCCTGCCCGGCACGCCAGGTGCGGTACGCGTGGACGGCACGATGTGCCCAGAGAGCTCCCAAACTGCGATTGCGCAAGTTTTCCGACTGGCTCCAAGACGTGTCCTGCGACGTCCAGACTCGAGCCTCGGCGGCCTCGGTTCCCAGCACCTTCACGCAATGATGCGTTCATGCATACCTGTGCACCTGCACCAACTCGTGCAAATCATGTGCAATCACGATCTGCAGTGGCAACGATGCACGATACTCGTCTCACATCTGCCCAGCACGCCAGGTGCGGCACGCATAGACTGGTACCAACTGCAAGCTCTGACCGCGCGGGCGGGGACTTTCTGGGAGCGGAGGAGGCCCTCGCTGCTGGAATGAGCCCCGTGTCGAGCTCAGGAGAGGGGCCAGGAGCTTGGCACGGGGTAAGCACTCGATGTGTGCCGCCTTCTTCTGAGATTGATCCTCAAGATGGTTGCTGACTGCCCAGCCCCTGTCCGCAAGCCTCCGAGACAAGGAAAGGGGAACAGTCTGGCAATGGGGCAGAGAGCGAGAAGTTTTGTGGCCCCGCAGTCATCGACAATGCGTTAACACAGTCAACGATAAACGGGGAATTTCACGGAACGCATTGCAAGCATCCCTCTGCTGAAAACCATCGACCACATGTCCTAGGATCTCCTCTGAGGGGCCTCGTTCGCGACAATACCAGCCCCCCCGAACGTGCAAAACTCAAACCGAGATGGACCGCAAGGTCACTGAGAGCTTGCAAGTCGCAGGGAAAACAAAGAGACAAACATCCGCAAAGCACTGTGCGACCTCTGGAGGGAAAGGAGACGAAGACCACGATCAAGGCTGAACGTAGGACGCTGGCGTCGACATTGGTCGTCGCCCAGCTGATTCATCGTCAAGACGTAGATCACCCTCGGGAATTGGCAACAGCTGGCATGGACCATGACCGAGATGACACCTTGGTTGTGGTCACCGTGTCTCTTCCCTCGAATGCACCCTGCGACCAGACTCGAACCACCGCGAGCTGCCGCAGTCAACCTCGGGCCACCGCAGCAAAAATTAGCGAGCGGCCTCCACGTCCAGCGTCCGCCGGCCCTCGCTGGCTTGGGGTGAGCAGTCGCGTGAGATGCACGGCCTCCGACCCCAGACCACCCACGCCCGAGCCTCGGGCCTGCAATCGGCTGTACAGGGGGGTGGCGGTGCGAACTATCAGACGCAGACTGCGGCTGGCGGCGGCGACCAAATGCGGACTGGTTGGTGCCCCCACAATGAAAATTGTGTGGAGGGTCGCGAAAGGGGGTGGGGGGGGGAAGGGGGAGCAAGGCGAGCCCCTCAGACGCCGTGCTCGGCCCACGAGTGAAAATATCGCACACACACACACACACACACACACACACACACGCACACACACACACCCTTGTTAACCCTCCGCGGCGACGAAGCAACGCACGTGCCGCTGGCGTGAGATGCCGCGGCTTCCAGCTCCGGGCTCCCCTTGCCCGAGCCTCGGGCCTTTGACGACCTTCCGAAGAGGGTCCGAGCAGATGGGGCGGGAGCACTGCAGCGCCCCGAGACACGCGCTTCCTGGCGTCGCGGCCACGCGCGCAGCATCGCGGCGTAGAGTCGCGCGAGGGCCTGCCCGCATCACGCGGCGTGGGCCCCGAAACATAAGCACACAGTCACGCACACGCACACACACACACAGCAAGGGCAACAACAACAATCACTTTAAGACTGTTCGCCCTTATCTGCTCGAGCGTCCAATAACGCGTATTTCCGAAACCCTCCATACCCGCCCTCTTCGTCTTCGATCGAACCCCTTTTGGGGGGTATACCTGTCTGCCCTGGCAGCGCTGATCGGCGGGGCGGCCGCGGACTGTCGACCCAACCCCAAGAGGGACGGACAGGGGACCGACCACGACGACGACGACGACGACGACGTCGACGACGACGGCGACGACGAAGGGCATGCACATGGGGCCACAACGGGCGCGACTCCTGGGTGCCTGGGTGTCCGGAGCGCGGCGCTTGAGCAAATTGCAAGAAATTCCAACGCAAGGGCGCTATTCTTCAGTAAATTGCAAGCAAATCTTTAACGAGAACGCGACTCCAGAGCGCCGGGAGAGCGATTCCTGGAAAAAATGTGAGGAAGTCCCAAGCGAGAGCGCGATTCCTGAATAAAATGCGAGGAAGTCTCGGGCGGAGCGGGGATCCTGGCTAAATTGTAAGGAAATCTCAGGCGGGAGCCGTTGTTGTTGTAACCCGGGGGCCAGGGGCACAGTGATAGCATCAAGACTTTCCCTGTCAGAAAACAAGGTGCGAGCGTTGAGGGGCACACTTTGATCAGGAAAAAACAGTATACACCGGTGGGGGGATTAACAGTAATTATTATTCAGATGTGAAAATTCGACAACAACAACAACATCGACAGCAACAGCAACAGCAACAGCAACAGCAACAGCAGCAACAGCAACAGCAACAGCAGCAACAACAACGATACCAACACCACAAACAACAACACAACAACAACAACAACAACAACAACAACAACAACGACAATGGATTTACGACTGCTCGATATGTTCTGCTCGCGTGCCATTCAACGCATATATCCCACACCCTCGATACTCACCCTCATCGC